TCATGTTTGCTTTGATATTTTTGTAGAGAATATATTTGAGTGCTATTTTGTAGAATATTTTGTTTAGTTTGTTCTATTATTACCACTAAACCAAATAATTAAATCTCTTCTTTACTATCTAAAATTATATAAACTCTTTATAACTTCAATATTTTTATATAATTCTATGCTTAAAAAAATCTATATCTATTTACTAAACAATCTCAACTTACTCAAAAATTACTACTTCATCAAACCAAATCAACTTTACTTATATAACAATATATCTCTCAAATTAACTAATAATGAAGCTCCACTTTTACTCTTTCCTCAAACTATTAATTCCCCTTCAATTACTAACTACCAAAATACATCTTATCAACTAAAAATCTACTCACTAAACACAAATAGCCTTACTGATACTAAACAAAAACTCTTATATGATTTTATCTCTGAAAACAATATTGATATTCTAGAACTTTCAGAAACTTATTTTTTTCTAAAAAATACAAAACTATCAACACTTTCTCAAAAATTAATAAATTATAAAAACTTCTGAAGCTTGAATAAAAACTTTTAATGAGCTGGTGTTGAGCTCTTTATCAAAAATAATTTAGCAAAATATATAGAAAAATCACAGAATACAAGAGCCATATAATTTGCATTAACTTCTTTTTCAAAAATATACAAATTAGACTAATTCAAATATACTTCCTTATACAAGAAAAAAACAACTAAAAACAGATATTCTAAACAAAATAATAGATCTTATAAATACAACCAAATACAAAGTAATTCTTATGAGAGACTTCAACAGTATACTTAACCTATAAATTAACTGATTCCTAGCAAAAAAATCAAGAATACCTGAAAATAACTTATTTAAATTCCTTAAAAGCAACCAATTCTATGATATATTCTGCTTATTTTATAATCAAACTAAATCCTTCACTTATAACCACAAAGAAAGTCAAAGCTAAATAGACTAAATATAGACTAATATTTATATAACTCTTCTTGACTATGCAGATATTCACTTATACAAATACTTGAACTCTGACTAGAGATGTACATTCTGCATTATGTGCATTACATTATGCAAAACATAATATCACATAATGTAATGTAGACATTTTAAAATTTAAAAATGTACATAGAAATTACTATATAATTTTAATATAACAAAAATCAATATAAGATTATATTTTATATCATATGTAATACTAAGTAATATATAATATTAGTTAGTAATTTTCCATCTATATAAAGTAGATTAATTATTATGAGATTTGAAAATATTATGAAATAGTAAACTTCAGTCTAGAGATAGGAACCTTGCTTCTTGATTTTGATAGAATACTATAAATGCATAATGTCACATTCTGCATTATGCTGCATTATGTAATGCAGAGCCAAAAAAATATGCATTCGTACATCTCTAACAGTGACCTATAAAAAAGATACTTATTAGCGCTAGGCATTAATTGAGTAAAAATTCGATATTATATAATTTTATGCAGGGGCACCCGTGACAGAGGTCTGGACAGTAAAATCCTCCACTCCACTCCGGACAACCACTCCGGACAATAAATATACGATTCTCAATTTAAACCAGTAGAATTCATAAAGTCAATTAGATATTAACGTTAACAATGTAACGGTAATTAATTGATAAAATAATGATTCTAATTATTATAGTATAACATTGCATTTAATAAGATTAATAAATGATTTCTATTATAACTACTTTAATTGAACTTATCCGATATTATGAAATCCTTTGATAAATTTTCGAGTAGACAGTAGCGCTAAATGTGAGGGACTAATGTAGGTGTGGAAACTTTATATGGTACTGTACTTGGTTAATCTATGTATACGTATAAAAATTTTTTTTAAAAATTACAGTATAATATTGTAAAATTAAAAATTAAAAATTTAACAATTTTATATTCTCAAACGAGAATGTAATTTTTAAATATTATGTTTTAATGTCTGTGAAAACATTAGCGCTATTACTGTATTATAATTCGTAAATTTAATACTCTACTTTAACAAAGAATAAAAAAAAAAAAAAAAAGGTTTATTTATATATTTTTTAAATGCTTATTACATCTTTTATGCCAAACTAATATACTATTTAAGGATCTATAGCTTATTATACCCAGAGCTCATTATAATATACATAGGTAGAGAGATCTATATGTAGTGAGGCAAATAACTGCGGATTATACGGAAAAATATTGCGGATTGTTTGTTTAATTTTTCACCTCCCCCGTAAATTTTTTAAAAAAATAACGTTTTAATTTCAAGTCGCTTATAAGGTGAGTTCATTCGTCAATATATTCTTATTTGGGATTCAACTGCAAAGCCGCCAGGTGGAAAAGGAAGGAAAAAATTCGTGAAAGCAAGGGAGACTGTTCCAGATGCTATGAAAGAAGTTGGTATTGCTTCCGATAAGGTAGATTACCATGGAAACTGTAATTCTGTGTGAAAATCTTAACTCTGATTACCGGTAGCATTATCCATATGGATGGTGCAAGATATCATAAACATCGCGTTGAAGCTGCACCAACCTCAAATCGGAATAAACATTTAATAAAGCAATGGTTAGAAGCTCATGCCATTGAATTCGATGCAAGTATGACTAAGTCAGGGTTATACGAATTAACAAAAAAAAGCATTTCATCCCTTTTGCTACTGTTTTTATTGCAAATAAGTTTAAAGCAATATAAGATGTAGTGGGTGTGATTTATATCCCTGGAGATAAAATAAATATACATATGAAGCTGCTAGCTAGCAATACAGTATAATATTAGCATGCACCCTGGCGCGTGCACCAGAGAGTTTTGCTAACCACCAGTGGTGCACCACCAACTCTACTTAAAGCATTGATTTAATACAAGTCACTTTCGTTATAGTGAAGTGATCTATTTCATTGGTAAAAATTTTTTAAAAATCACTATATCGAGAGCTTTATTAGTAAATTCGCTATATCAGGATTTTAATTAGTCTTCACTATACAGCTATATCTGATATCGAGAGTACGAGAGTGTTTAGGTACTAACCAATGAAAATTCGTACTACATTTTTACCAATTAAAATTCGTGCCAATTAAAATCTATTTAAGAAATTACGTAATTTATGCTATATACGTACGTATACGTATGTAGTATATTCGAGCAAGTTATTTAAAGAACATTTTTGCGGTAGATTTCTTAGTTTTTCTCGAATTAAGAAGAAAAAAATAATTAAAATTTCCTTCCCCTTGCTATACGAGTGCGAAATGGGGAAACAATAAAATACCTGAACCAGCTTTGCCCTTCATATTGAAGGCCAGAATTAAAAAAGAAGTACAAATGGCCTGTTGCTGCAAATTTACAAAAGGAAAAGAGAAAGACATTCTAAAACGTGTATGTAATGTTAATAGTGTAAATAGTTAAAACGATACAAACAGAACTGTAAATAAAATTTAGTGCAATAAAACGCGTCCCCAGATAATTGTTACCTTGGGGTTTTAAAAAAAAAAAAAAAAAAAAAAAAAAAATTGCCTTCTCCGGCAGTGCTCTACATTATTGGACAGACGACAAAAAATAACAGGCAATTTTTTTTGTCGGAGTTAAGTCACTCCATGTGCAGCACATGAGTGAAATTAACTCTAATGAAAAAAAAAAATTGCTTGTTATTTGTCGTACATATGTTCAATATAATGATGTTATTGGATGACCATTTTTCTGTGAAAAAATATCATGGCAAAAAAATTCACATCGTCATATGATATAGCCGGCAAACTCATGTGATCATAAATTTATTGTGATCATCAACCAATCAAATTAAATATACACAAATTATGTAATAGCCGTTTTCATGTTACACGAAGAACAATCATCCCGGATAATACATATATACCCCAATTTTTCTTACAAGCTTTTCTCACCTTTCTGATTTTTTCCGTTTGTATTTTTATTCTTCGTATCTGTCAGCACTTTCACATAGGTTTGGAGAGGTTTGATTGTTTCGATAGTTCCGGTCTAACCGGGTAAATTTTTGATCAGTCGTCCTATGTGATCGCACTTTCAACTT